CCTGCAAAGGGTTTCTGAGCCTTTAAATGGTCTCTCAGTCTGGTTCAGTAGGAATCACAATCATGGGGAAGACTGCTGACCTGACAGTTGTGCAGAAAACCATTACTGACACCCTCCATAAGGAGGGAAAGCCTCAAAAGGTAATTGCGAAGGAAGTTGGGTGTTGTCAAAGTGCTGTATCAAAGCACATTAATAGAAAGTTATATGGAAGGGAAAAGTGTGGAAGAAAAAGGTGCACAAGCAGCAGGGATGACCGCAGCCTGGAGAGTATTGTCAAAAATGTTGGGGACTTTAACTAGGAGCCACCACACAAGAGCCACCACACACAGACGGATCCTGACATGGGCTTCAGATGTCGTACTCGTCTTGTCAAGCCGCTCCTGAACAACAAACAACATCAGAAGCGTTTTACCTGGGCTAAAGAAAAACAGACCTGGTCTGTTGCTCAGTGGTCCAAAGTCCTCTTTTCTGATGAGAGCAACTTTTGCATCTCATTTGGAAACCAAGGACCCAGAGTCTAGAGGAAGAATGGAGAGGCACACACTGCAAGATGCTTGAAGTCCAGTGTGAAGTTTCCACAGTCTTTGTTGATTTGGGGAGCCATGTCATCTGCTGGTGTTGGTCCACTGTGTTTCATTAAGTCCAGGGTCAACGCTGCCGTCTACCAGGAGATTTTGGAGCACTTCATGCTTACTTCCGCAGACGATGCTGACTTCATTTTCCAGCAGGACTTGGCACCTGCCCACACTACCAAAAGCACCAAAGCCTGGTTCAATGACCGTGGGATTACTGTGCTTGATTGGCCAGCAAACTCACCTGACCTGCCCCATAGAAAATCTATGAGGCATTGCCAAGAGAAAGATGAGAGACAGGAGACCGAACAATGCAGAAGAGCTGAAGGCTGCTATTGAAGCATCCTGGGCTTCCATAACACCTCAGCAGTGCCACAGGCTGATAGCGTCCACGCCGCATTGAGGCAGTAATTGCTGCAAAAGCGGCCCAAACCAAGTACTGAGTCCATATGCATGCTTATACTTTTCAGAAGTCCGATATTGTTCTATGTACACTCCTTGTTTTATTGATTGCATGTAATATTCTAATTTACTGAGATTGTGGATTTGGGGTTTTCATGAGCTGTAAGCCATAATCATCGCATTTATCTCATATATTAGTTTCCCCTTTTACGTTGCATTACTGAAATAAGTGAACTTTTGCACTATATTCAAATTTTTCAAGTATCACCTGTATATATTTGTGCTTGGAATTTCTAGAACGTAATGGAATGTAGAAGGAGATGCAAAGTTGGTTGAGGTGTGCTGAAACCAACGTACGAGTAGGCCTGTAATAAAAAGAGGGCAAGAAGGTAACAAAGAAAAACACACTTTATTGCAGAAAATTTACTGAGCCAAACTTTTAAAAGCTTTCCTCATTTCTTTCTCTGTATCAGGTATGTATCCATTGTATAAAGTGTGTGACTGTGCGTGGAGTAATAGTCTGCTTAAGCCAGGATTAGTCGGTGGAATGATGGTATCCTGAATGGAAGGTGGTGGGCCGGAGGGGGTGCCTGGAAGAAGACCTGAAATTGAGAGGGTGAAAGAGCATCAGCATTTTAGTTATGGACACCAGGGATGTGAAACAATGTGGCTGTTTCTCTAAAGGCCGGTAAGGCATCCGTCTCAGAGAGCCAGTGAACCTTAACCAGTGGTTGCCAAAATGGCTGCGAACCTTGTCTGTGTTGCTGTGTCTGTGTAAATTGTGGGTCAGAAGCTGGACGCCACTGGGGACCTGACACTCCAGCATCTTTGGGGTAAACCATTCCAAAGCAGTTTAATGCCTTATAGTAAGAGATTACTTTGTTATGGTACCAGAGTGTTCCTTTAGGAACTTCCTTCAGTTAAATTGGACCCCAATCACACAAATGTGGCCAAAAGTATTTTAATCATAGAATGTGATGGCAGATAAGAACCATTCGGCCCATCTAGTCTTCCCAATTTTCTAAATACTCTCATTAGCCCCTGGATTTATCTTATAGCTAGGATAACCTTATGAGATCAGATACTGAAATGCCTCATTCACCCTGAACTCTATAGGACGTTTGCCAAAATGAATGCTGACAAGCCACAGTCCTTTTGGAAGAATGTCTTTTGGACAGACGAAACAAAAATAGAGCTTTTTGACAAATCACAAGTCCATGTTTACAGAAAGAAAAAAAAATTGCTTTCAAATAAAAGAACACCAGCCATACTGTGAAAGATGGAGGAGGCTCAGTGATGTTTTGATGTAGCTTTTTAGCCTCTGGCTCTGGATAACTAGAAAATATCTGCAGGGTACAATGCAATCAGATGACCATCAAGCCCAGTGTCAGAAAGCTGTGTATCAGTCACATGTCATGGATCCTCCAGCTCAAACATCCTGCAAAAATAAATGAGAAAAGAGAGTGTGGAGCAGAGGTCCAGAGCATTCATTTCACATTCACTTGAGCTGTGAGCCTTACTATACTGAAAACTACTGTTTGGGCACATAACCGGTTGAAAAATCTCTCAAGAGAGTTATGGGACAAAAAAACCAAAAAACAATAACATTAAAACTGACAAAGACCCTACCAGCCGAGATATTAGGGAACTCCTGCAGAGCTTGCAAAAGTCTGCATGGGACAAAATGGAGATGGGAGACGAGTGTTCCTCTTATTCCTGTGTCTCCTTCAATCTAGGAGAAGTGGCATCATATGACTTTGACCGGACACAAAGTCAAGCAATCCTTTACCAGGGAACCGGTCACGGTGGCTTGCTAAAAATATTGTGGGGATATTTATGGGATGATAACATTAAACAGTCGAGAATTGCCCACTATTTCAATTCTCTTAGAGATCGTTTATCAAATAAGTGAAATGTGTTCCATACAATTAAAATCACAATTTGTTATAAAAATAGATTTATTTATTGTAACAAATTAATTAACAAATAATATTAGGCGGCATGCATGATAATAATCAGTGAGTATTTAGTATAACATAAGTATGCAATACAATGGAATGGCTAACAGCATCTTCTGTCACTTAATAAGTTTTATGAGGGTACTTTATAGACAAAAATAAAGCTTTTCACAGCGACAAGCCATAAAACCTTGGCTAACAATTAAATCAACTGAGTAACCCTTTCAATGCTGGCTAGATCCTCCTAGGCATATAGTATCCTATTCTCATGTAATTTTCAATTAAAATAACATTCAGACCAGCTCATTAGTCATTTCCTAGAACCATCCAATAAGAATAATCTACCAGATTCTATAAGCCGAATTTTAATTTGCCTAAAAAGATATCTTATCTTATATTAGAGCAAATACACCTGGATAAAAACAGCGGTATGCTAACAAGTGATACTATCACATTAATATATAATTATTCTTAATTCCACCTACAGAATGGAATGTTTATAAAGATATATTCTTTAGTTAACTAAGATTTCTAAATATGAAATCTGACCGTGATTTATCCAGTCATATATCATGCTATTAGTAAATTTTAATTAATTTAAATTAATTAAATAAAACCAGCATAATTACCAGTTATGTAGATATTCTCATCAGATGAGAAGGTAGTCCCAGGAACTTGATTGGTTGTATGGAGGTGCGTGAGTGATAGAGAAAAGTGGTGTTGGTTAGAAAGTATCAGTAAATTTTAAGTATCAAGGAGTTTAAAAAAGTTGCGTGTCCAAGAGTTTAAGAGTAGCGTGTTAGTCCCAGAGAATGTCCTGGATTTCTCTGCATGTCCGAGTTGGAGTGCCCAAACTTCAACTCACTCTCTCTGCCAACTACCTTCTCTCTTCCCTTTGTCCTAACTTTTAAAGCGCCAGACTCTTTGTACGTCATTAGTTGATAAACCAATAGGAAACTGTAGATGTGTTCAATCTATGGATGGCCATTTAGGTATTTGATCCATAGAGGGTAGTCTTGCCTAACTAAACCTTCCTATCCAGGAAAGAGTTAACTTTCCTGATGACGATTTTGACGTCATTTGGCTTATCTAAAAGGATGATAAGCCAAATGACGTCAAAATCGTCATCAGGAAAAGTTAACTCTTTCCTGGATAGGAAGGTTTAGTTAGGCAAGACTGCCCTCTATGGATCAAATACCTAAATGGCCATACATAGATTGACTACCATAACTTACATTTGCTGTCAGTTCAAAGTGTTTGTCTCAGTCTTTGTGGCAACTACTTTGATCGTAATTTGTAAAACTGACAGTTCTAAACTCAATTTCACCCCTTCCTTACAATGGAACCTTGTAAAATTTAGAAAGTAAAATTAATTACTTAGTCTTCTCTGTCACTAGTGTCTGTGTTTATGTAATGCATTCCTTTAGTTCAAGCAAGTGGCTAGTTACAGAAAGTAAGAAGAAATTATGTGTTTTTGTTATCCTGAAGATAGCAAAATGGAGTCCGCTCTGTTCTGAGTGACTCTGGCAATCTACACTTTTAATTTCTTTCTAATGTCTGTTGATATAAATATTCTGACATAATCCCCCTTAGTGATTTTTCATAGCAATGATTAATTTAGTCTATGAATAAGCACTATAGCAGTTACAAGACATATTGTGCACTCACACCATTTCTACTAATTCCCGTGCGTGGAATTAACATTTTTGTATATTTTTGTACCTGTAATAGCTTTGAACGTTACGCTTAGTACAATCAACCATAATATTATTATTAACATAGTACCCCCAATAACAATCTTAACATGGATGAACCAGTCGACACGAGCAATAAGGTCAGTATCTAGCTCAGAGTACTTAAATGTGTCCACAGAAATGTTATCTTTTCTGATTGACATTTGGATAGTGTGGTTGGGCTTATGGTCCAGCAAGAACTTTAGATTAGGATCTAGAGGGATATCTAGATTCTGGAAGGGATCCACCATCTCAATAGCACTTTCGTTGAAGTCAGTGTACACCGGGTATAGCGTAACATCACCGATGGTGATACCAGAGTCGTGGGGTACCTTGATCAGTGAGACAGGTGCTGGTAAGGCAATTACTTTATTAGTCACCTGGTCCCTGCGAAAAACACTCATGTTTTTAAGACACGTGCTTACCAACCATTTATCTTTTACTAAGATAGCATGTACTAACGCATTACTGTCGGTTTTTGACATAGTTACTTGACATGTTTCAGAGCCATGTTTAAGGTACTCGATCCCACACAAAGCATTGGTAGAATCGTACACAAAAGGTTTTCCATCACATTGGAAATTATTGTCTTTGAATTTCTCACAGTCATTCAAAATGGGTATTGAATACCAATCTGGTACCCACAGTTGAAAAGCCAAAACATCTGGGGTTTGGACTTTTACGTGGATATTTTCCTTCCATGTACCGACATTGTAAATAGTTTTCATTTGAAAAATGTTTTTGGGAGTTACATAGGTTATGGCCAATAAAAAGCAAATCTACGGGGGGCGTGGCCTGGCAGCTCACCGAGACGGTCGCATGAGCTGTTAGCTCCGCGAGACAGCAACCCTGCACAGCGATAATAATAGCAGTGGGCACCCCAAAACCCCGCACCAACGCACGGTAACACCCGTGCCCATCATGGCAACCAAATCGGCCAGAAAGCTGAAACACAAACAGACCTCGCTGCAAATCTCGGCGATGACACCGCCACGCGCACAGGCCCAAGATGGCGCCGGCGCACCAAACTCACCTTCAGGCTACTCAGACAACAGCGACCTTACCTCAATATCGGAACCAGTGGCGGTTCCAGCAACCGACCTCTCTATCCACAAAATGCTGCAAGCTTTACAAACTTCCCTGCAAGCAGACATGCAAAAAATCGCACGGGAAATAAAAACGGAAATTCAGGCGCTAGGGGATAGAACGGCTCACCTCGAGGATAAGACAGAAGAAATAATTTCTGCCCCCAACACCCTAGCAGACGCCTACACGGAAATGGGAGCCAAACTAGAATATCTCACCAACAAGGTAGCGGATCATGAAGACAGGGACAGGCGCAGCAATATTCGCCTCCGCGGCATCCCGGAGGACGTCCCCCCCAGGACCTTCTAAACTACGCCACACGCCTTTTCCAGGCCCTGGTCCCTGACCTAACACATCATGAGTGCCTTATCGACAGAATACACCGCCTGCCTAAACCGAGGTCCCTCCCGGCCTCAGTACCTAGAGACACTATCGCTAAAATGCATTACTACACCAGCAAAGACAAAATAATGAGAGCCGCAAGGACCACGCCGACACCACCGGAGGAATTTGCAGGCGTCCATCTCTTTGCAGACCTATCTGCCGCGACCTTACTTAAGAGGAAAAACCTAGCCTGCATCACCAAACCTCTGAGAGACGCCAATATCCTCTACAGATGGGGATTCCCGGCCCGTCTAACAATACGCCGCAACGGAGCAAACCACCACATCACCTCCGCTGAAGAAGGCAGGAAACTCCTGAAAGAATGGGGCATCAACCTACCGCAGTCACCCGACCAAGCCACTCACACAAAATCACAGAGATCGCGGTCCCCAAGGAAGGTCTCGATGGACTGGACCGTGGTGAACACAGATAAGTGAACTGCACCACGCTTCCCCACCATATTTTACCGGGGCACATCACCCCGATATCCTCACCCTTGAGGTCATTGACTGCACCCCTCTCTGGCCCCCCGGACTACCAAAAATTGTGTACTGTTTACTACTCCATGTATATTTTTGCAAGCTAACTGCTCACGGAGACTAGGCCTTGCTGCAATGCCGGGGCCCAGCTTGGCCCAGCCATTGCAGCGACGCCCCCGTTGCAGAACGGGAACTCCCAGGGCAGACTCTAAGTCCGACCAAGGTATATCGAGTGCTTCACTTTGACCAAGGTATATTGAGTGCCTCACTCCCCACATGTAGATAACACATACTGCATATAGGAGAACTGGCCACATGCAAAGAGGCGGACATGAGACACACCTTCCCGCCCTCCACGCGACACTTATATACCACATGAGATCCAGGGAAGATCCGAGGGCCCCCGCTAACCCCTGCTACCAACCACCATACTATCCTTGAGGGGTCACACGCTACACCACTTCCAAACTAGTAATGCTTGTACAATGCTCCCACCCTATACCCCCACGAAACGATGGGGACCCACCACTCCCATCCCACGTAGCTAAATTTACGTACCGCCGAGACCCTTCACACATCCTGGTCTGGTCGGCAACAAAGGGGTGAACCCAACCCAATCCGACCGACATGACAGGGTTGTCAGGGTGAGCCCTTCTGATACCGTCTATGCCCCAGGGCACCCAAATCGACGGTTCTTTGTATATAGTTTTAAACACTCACATATTTTACCATTTGGTATGTTTTCACCCACCCCACCCTTACTTCCCTTTCCCCCCGTGCAGTAGACTGGTAATTGCTACCTCTAAATCTTTGAACAATGTGTCCCCCATGACATACCCCCAAATACACAACCTCCAAGCGGGATATACTAGGTTGAGCAAAGCCTCAGGAGGTATCTATGCTACACCCGCTCCACAGATCATCCTGACCACAACACACAGAGAGTTGCCCATGACCCAAACAACGCCATGCACCATGAGCACCAATCCCCATCAAACGGTGGCATCTTCCCCACCGATAATCGATCTATCAGTCGTCCCCCTCCGCAATGACACTTAATATTCTATCCCTGAACACTAAGGGCCTGAACTCACCACATAAACGCAGACTAGCATTGGAGGAAGCAAAGAAACACAAAGCCCAAATCACCTTCTATCAGGAAACCCATTTCAAATGGGGCAACCGCCCCAAATTCTGCTCCAACGCGTACCCCCACGATTTCCACTCTTGCTATAAGAAGAAGAAACGAGGGGTTTCCATTTTGATAGGAAAAGGAGTAGCCTTCTCACTGATTAAAAAAACGGGAGACAAAAACGGCACGTACCTGATACTCCAATGTTACATAAACAATGAACCATACACGCTCATCAACATATATGGTCCACATACTAACCAAACTGAATTTATAGATAAAATCTTCGCTCTAGCTAACACGTACAAATTCGGATCTACTATTATCGGGGGAGATATGAATTTCCTCCTCGACTGCTCCCTAGACTCCACATCGACCACCAGACTAGCCAATTCTTCCGCGCGGAAAGCGCACAAAACCACCTCATTAATCTGCAACCAAATTCTCCAACACAACTATCTCGACCCCTGAAGAATCCACCACCCCCGAGAGAGAGACTACACCTTCCACTCCTTAGCGCACAACACATACACTAGAATTGACAGATTCTTAATCCCGTCTACATTACTGCAGGCAGTCCAGACAACAAATATAGGTCTTGTGACTTGGTCAGACCATGCCCCAATTACTCTACCCATCACGGAAAAGGGCCCCACCGTAGGCAAGGGTACATGGAGACTGAACAACTCCCTACTACAGGACCCCATCATTGTAAACCAAATAAAAAACGACCTTACCGAATACTTCAAAACAAACACAACCCCTGACATCAATCCGACTACCGTCTGGCTAGCACATAATGCGGTAATAAGAGGCCTGCTGATTAAGGCAGGAAGCCACGCTAAAAAGCAAAGACTCAAAGAATACACCACTCTAATCACCGAGATCACTGATCTCACTCATAAAAACAAGGCAAACCCTACACAAACATTACAACACGAGTTATCCATTCTTCAAACCAAACTCAGAGACATAGAACAAGCCAAAACTACCTACATGCTTCAGCGATATAAACACAATTTTTTTTCACAAGGGAACAAAGCAGGAGCTCTACTAGCAGTCAGACTCAAAGCGCGCATGGCCCACTCAAGGATAGCTTATATCACCACATCTACGAAACAGAAACTCACAAACCCACAAAACATAGTCGACGCATTTGCTGCTTACTACAGCACACTCTACAACCTCAAGGAAGACCCCACGATCACCCCGCCATCCACACTGGACATTCAAAACTTTCTAGCGCAAACTGATCTACCCAAACTCTCCCAGGAAGCTATAAGCTCCCTCACCGCACCATTCACCACCCAAGAACTAGAAACAACAATCAGGCGACTCCCCAAACACAAAGCACCAGGCCCAGATGGCTATACCAACTTCTATTACCAGACCTTCGCTACCATTCTATCTCCACACCTATCCACACTCTTTAACCACTGCTATTCGCAGGGAGCCCTACCCCCAGAAATGCTAAAAGCCCACATCTCCACTCTCCCAAAACCAGGCAAAGCCCAAACGCAATGCCAAAACTTCAGACCAATCTCCCTACTGAACGTGGATGTCAAACTCTACGCGAAACTCCTAGCTAACAGGTTGTCTGAAATTCTCCCCACATTAATACACAACGACCAATCAGGCTTTGTCAAAACAAGACAGGGCTCAGACAACACTAGGAAAATCCTGAACATTCTATCACATACACACGATTCCAGAGGACAAGGCCTTCTCTTAGCACTAGATGCAGAGAAGGCCTTCGACAGGCTCAACTGGGACTATATGCAACAAGTTTTAAGTACGTTCGGCTTCACGACACCAATAATTTCTGGTATCATGGCCCTATACAATACCCCGACAGCACAAGTCTCACATGCGGGCTCCCTCTCCACCCCGTTCAACATAACCAACGGCACAAGACAGGGATGCCCCCTATCCCCACTATTGTTCGTCCTCTCTCTAGAACCGCTTGCACACATAATTAGACGCCAGCCCGAAATCAAAGGCATTAGGATAGGGGGGACTGATCACAAACTATCCATGTTCGCAGATGATATCCTCTTAACACTGAAAGATGTGCCCTCATCACTACCCGCCCTAATGCAAATCTTAGGGAAATATGGCAAACTAACATACTATAAACTAAACCAAACAAAAACACAAGCATTACCATTAGGTCGCCCCAAAGATTTTGTTCAAACACTCATGAGCAAATACGATTTTGACTGGAGGTCAAACTACATCACTTATCTCGGGGTCAAAATTGCGCCTACAACAGACCTATTATTCCAATACAATTATAAACCACTCCTAAGCCTATGTAAATCAGAATGCCAAAGATGGAAACCAGTTAAACTTTCATGGCTAGGCAGAATCAATACTGTCAAAATGGTCCTCCTCCCTAAATTACTGTACATTTTACGCCTCCTACATATACGGGTCCCACAAAACTTTTTCAAATCACTCCAAAAAGTACTATCCTCCTACATCTGGGAC